TTGCCCAGGTGGGTCTCAAATCCGCAGGCTCAGGCAATCCACTCCCCTCAGCCTCCCAAAGCACGGGATTACAGGCTGAGCCACCAAGTCCGGCCTTTTTTTTTATTTAGAGATAAGATCTTGCCATGTTGCTCAGGCTGGTCTTGAGCTCCTGGGCTCAAGCAATCCTCCTGCCTCAGCCTCCCAAAGTGCTGGGATTATGGGCATGAGCCACTGCACCTGGTCCATTATTAGCTTTTTTTTTTTTTTGAGTTGGAGTCTCACTCTGTCGCCCAGACTGGAGTGCAGTGGCCGCTCCCAGCCACCGTAGCCTTGACCTGCTGGGCTCCGGCGATCCTTCCACCTCAGCCTTCCAAGTAGCTGGAACTACAGGCGCGTGCTACCACACCCGGCTAATTTTTTGATTTATTGTAGAGATGAGGTCTCACAAAGTTGCCCAGGCGGGTCTCCAACCCACGGGCTCAGGCAATCCACTCACCTCAGCCTCCCAAGGCGCGGGATTACAGGCTGAGCCACTGAGCCTGGCTCATTATAAGCATTTTTAAGTATGCATTTTAAGTTTGGTGGTATTAAGTGCATTCACGTGCAACCATTGCCACCATCCATCTCCAGAACTTTGTCATATTCCCAAACTGAAACTCCAAAGAAAGAGTTTTAAGCAGGAGTGCGATGTAGGGAAGAATCTGGAACTCCCCCTCTCCCATCTTCCTGTCCTGCCATGCTTCCTCTTGCCTTCCCCCCCCTCGCAAACACCTCCCCTTCACCTCCCCCTGCCAGGCTACAGAAGATCCTGGCAGAGTCACCACCACCTGCCCGTCTGGACATCCAGTTGCCTGTCATCTCAGATGACTTCAAATTCCAGGTGTGGAAGAAGATGTTCCGGGCTCTGATGCCAGGTACTGGAAGGGGCTGACTCCGGGATTGAATGTGTAACTGTGAGGTTGGTTGGTGGGAGGCCCAGCCACACGTAGAGAGGCCTCCCGATCCCAACAGGGAAGGCCATCAAAGAAGGTACCCACTGCCCCTTTACTTCTGAGGTTCCCCCCACAGACTCATAACCTGTGTTGGCAGGAGGACCTTTCAGGACTTGGGGTTTACAGTGGGTGACCGACAGACACGCTGCTGCTGCTGGCAGTATGGGGCTGGGTTTGAGCCCCTGACTCGCTATGAGATCCTTGGCCAGTCCCGGCCCTCCACATCTCCCTGTGGAGATGATTCCTGCTGACTGGGGGTTGAGGCTCTGCAGAGCTCCTGGAACCACGGGAACTGGCCTGGGTTGGGCAGTGGGTCTGGCGGTCTGTGGCTGGGGAAGACCAAGGGCTCAGCCGCCTCTCCCTAGAGCTACAGCACATCGGGGTGCTACAGATTACAAAGCTCTGGGACATACATGCACGGCTGGTATAGCCTCCACTGCCTCCCGGGAGGTGGGAATGGAGAGAGCCCCATTTTCTTCGAGAGAAAACGATGAGGTTTCCTCCCCTCGGTCCTTGGCCCTTCTCTGGGCCTCAGATGGTGAATCACCCGCCTTGTATCAGTTTAGTCCTGCCCGTGACCCTGGAGGAGGCAATCCTGACCTCATTTTGCAGGAGAGCAACCTGAAGATCAGACAGGTGTGGTCTTTGGCCCAAGCCAGTAAGCAGCGCGAGGCTCACCTCCCACAGCCGCTGGGTGGATGAGAGGAGACAAGGGGGCTCGAGGCGGGCAAAACCGCCGGGGCCTGACCGTGGTCTCTCTGGCAGTGCTGGAGGAGCTGACCTTTGACCCGAGCTCGGCGCACCCGAGCCTGGTGCTGTCCCCCTCCGGCCGCCGCGTGGAGTGCTCGGAGCAGAAGGCGCCGCCAGCGGGAGAAGACCCGCGCCAGTTCGACAAGGCCGTGGCGGTGGTGGCGCACCAGCTGCT